ACTCTTTCACTCACGTTCTCTGACTCTGAATCGTATGCAACAACAACGTTCGTTCCATTCCATTCCCAACAGGTAACAGCTGACGACATGGAAGTAAGCGCCGCAACTGGACGCAGTCCCTCGTCGGACTCGGGGCTGGGCGGCATGACCGTAACGGATATACATAAACGGTACCTAAACACACACTGAGCACTCACTACTAACTAAACTAAACTAAACTAAAAAAAAAAAAATAATAGACTCACTAACAAGAAATGACCTGTAATGAACTGTAACTGTTATTCCGTTAACCGTTCCGTTGATAGACCCGCACTGCAGTTGCCCTATCGGCCCATGTCGGCGGGACCAGTATTGCATCGATCACAGCATTATCAGCCAGCCACAGCCTCATCACATGCAGCTAGCAACCAATCACCATCACCAACGCCACCTTCACAACAACAACAATTACAACAACAACAACATTATCCACATCATACCTCATTGCGTCATCTGGGCGGCGTTGGAAGTGCGCGTCATTATCAGCATCTTCTTCCCCATCAACAGCTGCAGCAACAGCAACTACAACAACAGCAACAACAACTACAACAGCAGCAGCAACAACAACATCAGCTACAGCATCAACATTTGGGACCAAATCAATTTCAAGTCAAGCAAGCCAAAGACAATCAGCAACAGGTCAGGAATTTGCGTCACAGCTAACTGATCTGTCTCAAGCAAACTCTATTCTGGCTCTGTCACTCGCTAGACTTTCAAGACTAGTTCTCTCTCTCTCTCACTCACTCTCTTTGTCTTTCTATCTATCTCTCTCTATATCAGATTCAGAAAAAGTTGGGTTCTCAAAAACAAAAAAAGTTCTTATAATTTCTGTTTCTCTGAAAGTCTCTTAACTCTTTCTGCGTCTTCATTTTCTCACTTTCTCTGCTCAGATAATCAAAGAAATAAACAAATTTTATTGCATTTATATGAAAGAAAACAAGAAAAAAATTGACATTCGGTACTAAAATCGGCTCTATTTGAGCCGTTCCTTATATTGTGTGTTGTCTGTTGTCTCGAGTTTGTTTATTATTAATTTTATTGTTTTTTATTTCCAAACTTTGTCAATTTACTATWCTTAATGTTTTTTCGTGTATGTCTAATTGTCCCATTGTTTAATGTTCTCTCTTTCTCTCTCTGTCTATTTTGTTTTGTTCTCGATCTATTTTCGTTTTTAACTGTTGTCTAATTGGCTGCTAAGTGTAGTAGATTAATTGGCTTTTAACTGTTTATCAAGCTAAGAAAACTTGGCTTACCAAAACGAAAAAGAAACCAAAAAATTGATTTTCCGCTTCTTCTTCTTCTGTTTGGCTTAGGAATACGGCTGTGATGAGCATAGAACTCGACGGGGCAGCGAAACCCTATTACCGGAATATGAACAAGATGCGGTGAGTAAGAYATTGAGCTTTATTCCGGCAGGTAAAGGGGCTCACTCTCTCCGTCTCTCTCTCTSTGTGTAGSAGCTACACRTATCATTTCATTCCGTTCATTATCATCTMTTTCAGCATATAACTCTACAGATATACTTACCATCCAACTAACATTTCAGAGCTCAAGAACTTCAATGCAAACACTTTAGCTTTGTTACTTTATTATTAACTAATTTAATATCTATAACTAAAACACTAAACTTAAGCACTAAGAGCCTTCAACTCTTGATGGATTATGTTTATATATATTTATATATAGTCTATATAGCATGTATGTATGTATCTCTACGTATAAGCAGTGTAATCAATACGCCAATGCAATCCAATTGAGCTCAAACAGACCGCAGACCCTTTCTCCCCCCACACTCGCCACCCCACTCGGCTCCTCTCTCTACATTGTGTCGTGCGTGGCGCTGTCCCCACCCACAACTGGCAAATGATAGTCGCGTGGCGGCGTAAAGGGGCGCACAAAGTGTCGCCACTGATGGTGGGCGTGGTGCGGATGATGGGCCTGATGATGAGGGGGCGGTGTCACAGTTGTCGCGGTAGCCTGTTGGTGCTGCTGATGGCAGCTATTGGGCTCGAATTTCGGGCGTGGTATGCGCAATTGTTTGATCTCGGTCAAATAGGTCTCCATGTTGCAGTCCACCGCAGTTGTGTTTGTCCGCCTGTTGATTTGTTAAGTTGTTTTAATGAATCGCCTGATTTGCAGCTCTTTCTATAGCTGCGGTTCTTGTTGTTGTTTAACCAACTCGCTAATGTTATGGAGTGTGAAAACGAGTGTCGGCTGTCAACAATTTGCGCGAGCTAAAGTTAAACAAAACAACAAATCGGTTAGTACATATGCGAAATGAAAGTGCTTTGTGTGCATATAAATAGAGAAAGGTGGACAAATGGAGAAAGAGATGGATATATACTTAAATATAGATGGTGAGATGGAAGATAGATAGATAAATAGATGGATAGATATAGATAGATAGATAAATGGATTGATAGATGGATAGAGAGATAGATAGATATATATATAAATGATAGATAGATAGATGGATAGATATATAGATGTAAATGATAGACATATGGATATATAGATAGATAGATAGATATAGATGATAGATAGATAGACAGATGGATAGATAGTTAGATAGATAGATATAAACGATAGATAGATAGATAGTAAGTTGGACTTATGGATAGCTAGATAAATCTACATGGATAGATAGGTCAAAAAATACAATCAAAAATTTTATTCCATTTAATTTTTATCTCTTCCCTCTAGCTCACTTTGTCAAATTCCATATAAGTTCGGCTCTAGCCATTTATCTTTTCATTCTACATATTTTCCTCATTATTTACTGAGGTTTACAGAAAATCATATTTAAGCACGTTTCTTTGCACAAAGAAGTTCATATCTCAAAGAGATTAAAATAATTTGCTTAAACTGTTAAATTCTAGATTTATATTAAAGTTTTTCAAGCAAAGTTTTCTCAATTTCCAGAGCTCCACTAACAACAAATGAATGCGAGCGTTTACATTCAACATTTTAAAGTGCGCTGCAGCTCTTTTATATATGCATATATTTATATATATACTTTTAGATATATGCATTTTACTTATATAGGATGCATTATTTAATGCTTAGCCGGCTGCATTATAAAGTTATTATGCTTTTAGCTTGGCAAGGAGTGCACGAAAAGTGAAAGTCAATTGGCTGCATATAGAGACAAAAGCAACACCAACAGCAACAACAACAACRAACGTTTGCCAGGCATTGCCAAAAGACATGAAAATTGCTATAATTTCCGGAAAAGGCGTTCGTCCAAATCCAAAGCCAAATCCGAGTCCCAAACCAAAACGCATCTCGACTGCAAGTTCAATGTGTGTTAAATGTTTCAGCTCTGTCAGCAGACATTTGGCATGTAATGTGCCCAAGTTGCAGCTGAMGAAAGAGAGAGGGATAGTGGAGAGGAGGGCGAGAGGCAAACTGTGTGCACAGCTGACAAGAGATGGCGATGGGACAAGGCTTAGGGGGAGTAGGGAGGGGAGGGC